AACAAACAAAACAAAGCCAAACAAAAACACAAAACAAACAAAAAAAAAAAATAAACAAACAAAACAAACAAAAGAAACAAAAGAATAAAAAATAAAATAAAATAAAATAAAAATAAAATAAAAATAAAATACCTGAGTCGCTGTCTTCATCTCCATTAAAAACAAACTGATAAAAAAACCAAAAAAAAAAAAACAAAGCCAAAAAAAAACACAAAACAAACAAAACAAACAAAACAAACAAAATAAACAAAACAAACAAAAAATAAAATAAAATAAAATAAAATAAATAAAAAAAAAAATAAAAAAAAAAATACCTGAGTCATCGCTGTCTTCATCTCCATTAAAAACAAACTGATAGGTTGCCGGGGCATCTAATATAGATTTTAATCTTTTTTTTATGCATGCAGCAGCAGCAGCAGCAGCAGCAGCAGCAGCAAGTGCAGCAGCAGCAGCAGCAAATAACTTTACCCAGCCTAGAGTCTGTGGCAGTAATAGATGTGCTGCTGCTGCTGCTGCTGCTGCAGCAGCAACTGCTGCAGCAGCAAATATATATAAAAAATATATTAAACTATGGGGGCCATAAGCGATAGATAAAAGATAAGTAAATAAAGAAGAAGAACAAACAAAAAAAAATAAAAATAAACCTAAAGATATAGATGCATATACAGATGAACCTGTTGCTGCTGCTGCTGCAGCACAAGCGCATGCAGCAGCACCAATTATCTGATTTAATAAAAGAGAAGAAAAACTGCTGCTGCTGCTGCTGCTGCTGCTGCTACTGAATGCAGACCAAAAGGCAGGGCCCATGATACCTAGAAGTGAAGCTAATGCTGTTGTTGCTGCTGCATGCAGGCTCGAATACTGCTGCTGCTGCTGCTGCTGCTGCTGCTGCTGCTGCTGCTGCTGCTGGTGCTGCACTTGCAGCAGCAAAGGCCAGAGAGACAGCAACAAAGCACAGACAAATGCATCTAGGATAGCTAGCAGCAGCAACACCCATGCACGGGGTGTATAGGCAGCTTGTTTAATGCCTAAACTAACCCCAACAGCAGCAGGAACAAATACAGAAACAGGAGTAGAATCTAAATAAAGTTTTTTTATTTTTTTTATTATATTATGTACAGAAAAAAAACAAAAAGGAGATATAATCTGAGCTAAATAAATACCACATAAATCAACACCACTCATTTCAGGTGTATAGGCAGCTCCTGCATCCTCTAATAATAAACCAGCATCTGCTGTTGCCTCTTCTTCTTCTTTTATTATTATATTCTTCTGGCTATACCTAACACACAAACCCTAAACCCTAAACCCTAAACCCTAAACCCTAAACCCTAATTGAGGGTTTTAGAGACAACTGCGGTGTACAGACAGCTCAAACGATCAACCGATAGAAAACAGAAGAAAAAAAAAAAAAAAAAAAAAAAAAAAAAAAAAAA